GCTACCCCTCTGAAGCTAGGATACAGTCCAGCTGAACTGCTGATGAGAAGGAATTTAAGAACAACATTACCCACAGCTAAAACTCAATTAAAGCCTCGTACTCCAGAGGAGAAAACTGTCAAGAGAAATGACAAGAAGCTCAAGGAGTCCCAAAGATCAAGCTATAATGAACGTCATAGAGCTAGAGAACAAACTCACTTGAATCAGGATTTCTGGTATAGATTACAGATCTGGACAGACAAGGAACTATTGTTCGAGAAGTAGCTCCCAGGTCTTATTCAGTTCAAACTTTCAATGGAATTATCTGGAGGAATAGAAGACAATTAAATGTATTGCCAGGAAACAGTGGAGAATTGGAGGAATCAGATCAACTTCCTGATTTACCAGAGACTACACCAGAGGAGAGTGGTTCTGAGCCCATTGAAACTACTAACACTACTATTACGAGGTGAAGCAACCGTTCTAGGCGACCACCTGATCGTTATGGAGAGTGGCTGAATGAAATTCAGCCGGCTGGGGAAAAGATGTGAGATAATGTATAACTCATTAGTTATATACTCTAATATTTATGCATGTTAATTGACTAATATTAATTAATAATGGCATGATTATAAAATAGTGTGTGTTAATCACTTGTTCGGGACTGTAGTAGTATTTTGATGATTTTTGTGAGATCTCTTCCCTTGTTATATTTATTCAATACTGATATTGCTAAATCTACGCTACGAGCCATTACACTATTCAACTTCAATGTTTTTATGCATGTATCGATAGAGCTGTTGCATGGATGTAATCAATGGGGGAGGCGGAGCTTCCTGTCGGCTATCTTGAGTGGCAAGAAAGTACATGCAACAAATGGTGTTGGGAATTAAATGATGACGTTATTATTATTCATGTGTGTTAATTGGTGTTAATTAATATTATTTTTGTGAGCATGCACAGTATGTGATGCTGTGCAGTTGAAGAGAAGTAGACATTAAACAAAAGAGCCAATTTGTGTGCTACTGTATCCAGAGCGATCGGACAGCCAGTATTTCGAAGTCCCTATAAAAGAACTCAGCAGCAGCTGTCGTACATTGGTCCAGCGTGAACTGGATAGGGAATAACTGTTGGACTGTACTGGACTGAAAGCAACTTGAATGAGACGGGTACAAAGAGAAAAGTCGCGGAAACCCGATTTGTCTACTTAGATGAAGTTGAAAGGTATTCTCCGTCGTTTCAAGAGGAAGAGATCTTTGTTTATAATAAAACTTTGAGTGATAACAGAGAGCTCGTTAGAAAGTCATTGTGCTAATTAATAATTATTACTTTACGTGGGTGTTGCGGCGTTGCGTATACATGGGCCTATTAATTAATTATTGATGGCGGATCTAGAGAAGAAAGCTAAAATCAGGAAGGATACAGGAACCTACTTACCAGACAAGTGCAAAAAGGAGATGAGCTTCTCGAGGGTATGGAAGAGTCAGGGGATATAGATCATGTGAAGCTTAGTCAAATTAAGTTGTCTGTAGGAGAAAAGTTAACAGCACTAAAGAAAGTTGATGAAGAGATTATAGAGTTAATTGATGATGGAGAGGTAATTGTGTGTGAGATTGATGAAGCTGATAGGTTTAATGAAACAGTTTATGAGATGCTAGCCAGAGTAGAAGCAAAGTTGAAGAAATCGGTTGAGAAAGAGAGTGCAGCTGCTTGCAAGAGTAGTGTGAGAGCCAAGCTGCCCAAGCTTGACTTACCAGTGTTCAATGGGGAGATCACTAAGTGGTTTACCTTTTGGACAGCTATAAAGCAGCAGTACATGATAATCCAGATTTATTGCCAGTTCAGAAGTTCACCAATTTACGGTCATTACTGAGTAGATCAGCTCAAGAGTGTATTGCTGGATTAACTTTAACAGATGCTAATTATGCAGAAGCAGTCAAAGTATTAGAGAGCAGATTTGGTAATAAGCAGAGGATCATTGCCAAGCATATGGAAGCCTTGCTTCACTTAGATCCTGTATCATGGCAAGGGAATACTCTAGCATTGCGCGCTTTGTATGATAAGATTGAGAATCACGTGAGAGAGCTTGCTGCTCTTGGAGTTGAAGCAAATACTTGTAATAGCCTTTTACCTTCTATTTTGATGAGCAAGTTGCCTAGTGAATTGAGCCTAGCTATTAGTAGAAAGCTATCTGAAGATGATGATTGGAAGTTTGACAAGATAATGGAAGAACTGAGCCAAGAACTCCAAGCACGTGAGCGTACTTTGCCAAAGCCTGATAGTAGTAGGAGAACGTCTCATTTTAAGGAAGGAAAACCAAAACGCAAGCGTCCCACGTCAGTGACACTTCATACTAGTATTACTCATTGTTGTTATTGTGATGAAGAGCATGCTCCAGAGTCTTGCACAAAAGTTGATAAGATAGACAAAAGATAGTCTATGTTGACAGATTCTGGTAGATGCTTTATTTGTTTGAGAAGAGGTCACATAAGTCGTAATTGTAGATCAAGCATTAAATGTAGTTTGTGTAGTAATAAGCATCATACAAGCATCTGCACGAACAAGAGAGAGAGTAGCAAGGAAGGAGAGAGTGCGAAGCGGTTCAATCCCAAGGCTGATCCTTTCCAATCAGCTACTCTACTGACTGATGCCAAGGGAACTATACTGCTACAGACTGCTCAGGCGACTGTGCACAACACAAAGAGTACAGAGAATGCTACAATGAGACTAGTATTTGATAGTAGTAGCCACAGATCGTATATAACAGAAGAAGTGTCGTAAGCTTTCTTTGAGAATAGTTGGAAGAAAGACTTAGTCATTGCTACATTTGGGAACACTGGAGGAAGGAGGCAGTCCTGTAAGATTGTCTATGCAGTTCTAGAAACTAATGATGGGAACACATTGGTTCTCAATTTAATGGTTGTTCCACTTATCTGTGAGCCTTTGGTTGGTTTGTCACTGACAGACTGCATCAGAGGCTATGATCACTTGAAGGATTTAGACCTTGAAGATCCAGGCACTAATGGAGATGTCATTGAGCTGGATATTCTCATAGGACTGGACTATTATTGGGACATTGTATCTGGGGAGGTACTGCGAGGAGATAGCGGGCCTACAGCTTTATACTCGAGTCTGGGATGGCTCTTGTCAGGTCCTGTTGCTTCAGCTTCTACAACTCTTGTGACTCATGTATTGACTTGTGGTGTTAGAGCTGGTCAGGAGAAGTTGGAACTTACAGAGCAGTTAAAGAAGTTTTGGGAGATTGAGTCACTTGGAATTTGTGAAAAGGAGAGCACCCTATATGAGCAGTTGAAGAAGAATGTTACTTTCAATGGAACACGATATGAAGTTACTCTACCTTGGAGAGATGTTTTATCCATTCTTGATAACTATCAACTGTCTTTAATACGGTTGAATGGATTGCTTCGCAGATTGAGACAGAACCCTACACTACTTGAGGAATACAATAAGGCCATTGTCACTCAATTGGATAGTGGTATAGTTAAGGTAGTGGAAGATCCTACAAGGACTGATGGAGAGAGGGTTCACTATTTGCCACATCTCTGTGTAGTTAGACAGGATAAGGAAACAACCAAGTTACACGTTGTTTATGATGCCTCAGCAAGAAGCACTGGTCTTTCTCTGAATGAATGTCTTTATGTTGGGCAAAAGTTCAATCAGATAATAATGGAGTTACTAGTTAGATTTAGGGTACACAAGAGTGCTTTCATTGCCGATATACAGAAGGCATTCCTAATGATTTCTGTTCGGAAGCAGGACAGAGATGTACTAAGATTTTATTGGGTGACAGATATTTACCAGAACCCACCGGAGATACAAGTATTGAGATTGCTTGTATAACAAACTTTTAGAATAAAATGTTTCCTAGTCATTGACATTAGTGGTATCATCTGAGACGTCATTGTCACATGCCACAGATTTAGCCATGAGTCGACTTCCTTTGCCTTGTATGACATCATGCGAAAATAGACTAGTTAACATGAACTATTATGGCAGGAAGCAACAAGGGCAAGTTAAAAACTCTTAAGTCTAGGC